ACGAACTAGATATTTGGAATCAACGAAAGTATAGTTCTTCTAAGTCAGAGGTTCCCAAACTTTTTTGTGTCGTAGACCCTTGCCTGATATTGATTTTTTGTAAATTTATTATTTATATTGAGACATCTTTATAATTATTAAGATTTTTGCTCTGAGACAGCGCGTATGCTTGTAACAAGATGATACTGGTATATCATTATGTGCAGGTTTTTACAAATTCAAAATGTATTGCGACCACAAAGCGAATGCCTACATCCTACAACTTATACTATTTTATAGACATATATAATATTTTTTTTTACTTAAATAATGTTTATGTCTTTATATTATAAGATAGTATAATATATGTAAATAGGTACTATCAGTGTATGTTGAGATCCACTATCGTAGACCCCCATTTTCATTTCATGGACCCCCAATTTTTTTTTTCGCTGACGTAGACCCCTTGCAGGTTGTCATAGACCTCTGGGGGTCACTGGCCTAGAGAATCACCCAAATCAACTGATTTTAATAATCAATAAATCAATGTTTGCAAGTGCATAAATAATTATTGTATATGTGAAGTAGGGTTGCTGGATCCTCTATTCATTAAGCATTATAGTATCCTTCTTTTATTTTTACCACATTCATAAATCTTGATGTCTATGTCAGATGCTTTAATAATAATAATAAAAAAAAGTAGTAGTTAAAAAAAATATGTTTTATTTTTCAAATTTATTAAATAACAATAAGTATTTACATTTAATATAAATTATTTTATAAAATACAAAGCACAAGAAATATAAAATTTTACCACCAACGCAATCGTTTTACTCCACATTTTTTATAACTGCGTTGCATATTACTAAACCTCTTTTCATAATATCGGTCGCACGCTCGTTGTTCTTCATAATAAAATATTGGAGTATCGCTTTCATTATCATCATATTCAGAGTCATCATCTTCTGAGTCGTCATATTCGGAGTCATTATCTTCTGAATCATCATTTTCCGAGTCTTCGTTAAATTTCCTTTTTCTGTCGCAGGATATTATATCTACCTCATCATCATCGTTATTTTCACACTTGGCGGTGAAGCACTTTGAGATATTACTGTCATTGAAAGAGTCCATTTTCTTGTCGGAAGATAATGCATCATAATCGACGTTTATTATATCTACCTCATCATTATCGTTTTCAATATATATTACTTCTGTGTCCATGTGATTTTCACCAATGGCATCGTCAATACAATTCTTTTCATCGAAACAAAGCATGTCCTCGTCATCGCTGATATCCTCGTACATTAACTTATTCATATTTCTAATTTTGTTGATAGTTTGTGTTGTTACTGCTACAAGTGATTGCAAGAAACTGATGCATTTGCAATGATTAGCTGATCTTTTATAGTACATCCCTTTTATTCATTAATTATTGGGGTCGTAAAATCAGGTATATTTTATTATATATTTATGTAACAAGAAGCAAGTTTATTGAATTATTATGAATTTAGAAAAACGATTAGGACCCTTAGTAATTAATAGGAAAAAACTATACCTTTTCTTAGAATAAATGAACAAATATCAAGTTAAATAATATTATGTATCACGTTACATTTTCATGTCTCATATCATAAAATGTCTCAGTCTGAGGGCTAGGAAGCTGGTCTGGCTAATATGAAGACAAAGTGCTCCTGTATAAAATTATTCTAAAACCGAAACCTATGGTATTCAGCTTTGGCTCTAACACCAGTATTGATATAATACAGAGATTTCAGTCCAAAACGCTAAGGAAAATTATCAATGCTCTATGGTTCTTCACAAACGATGACATCCATAAGCATGCTAACATCAGTTTCGTCAAGGAAGAAATGGCAAAGGCTAGCACAAGATACCATCATCGGCTAGAGAATCATCCAAATCAACTGGCTATGGAGCTGATGCATAGTGCAGATCATCGTCGAAGACTGCAGTGCAAGACTTACCCAACCGATTTTAATAATCAATGAATCAATGTT